GAAGGCAGAAGGACTCTATGGGGCTAGCCATCCCCATGCTTGAGGTATTCTCGCCCCACCCCAGGCCAGGTGGCAGTCTGCAGTCACGTCCAGTGGTCGCTGAAGCTGTTGTTCCTCCTGCTAGATGACCACAGAAGTGCTCTCTGCAGCCCTAAGCTACCCTCTTCTCTCCAGGAAGTGCCTCCCCAAACCTCTGGAGCGAATGGCCACCCCCTCCCCGTTTGTTCATTTAAATTGCTAAGCGCTTAATAGGTGCCTTCAGTCATGTCTGGGATTGTGGGGAGGAAGGGTCTTCTTAGGTGAACAGGGAGGTTTTGGATCAGGGCCTCCCTTTTCCAAAGCCAGCTCTCTGCCTCTCGCCCCATGCCCCTTAGCTTATTTATCCCCGTCCTCCTTTAGAAGGGTTAAGTTCCTCCTTAAGACCCAGCATTTGGGAGCTGAGAAGGGAACAAGATAACCTCTGGGCACCTGGCGGGCCTGTCTGGGGCTACCTCCCTTTCTCTCCTGATGGTGCCGTCTTGCTCCCACAGCAGCCTGGTGGAGAACAGCAGCAGCCTCTCTCAGCTGAAGCACTGCAGCCAGGTAGGACCAGCATGCGACCGCTACCTTGTCCCTGGGTTCGCACAGCATGCTCATTTAGGGTAACGTGGAGCTGGGCAGCACATTGAGGGAATCCAGCCTCTGGCTTAGCCTGTGGTGGGAACCAGGCCTTCGCAAGAAGCCAGAATCGAGTCAATTCACTTTGGCACCGCATGGTTTATGAACTAAGTAATTAGCGTTTGTTAAACTGGGTTTTGTGTGCTGTGTGAATTTAGCCAGTGATACTGGCTCTGTGCGTATGTACTAGAGAGAGGGCAGATGCGGTGCTGTGAATACTGTGTCTCCTTGCAACTCCAGCCACTGGCAATCTCAGTAGCCACCAGCTTGCTCTGCATCATGGTTCACTCGGCAGAGTTCTGGGGTCCTTCCTTGCCTCTCCATCCCATCGGAATGCAGGTGCTGTCCATTTACTTCCTTTTCCCTTTATTGCCTTGCAGGGAGCCGAACAGCTGGCTGGTTCCCCCAGGCAAAGTCCACGCTATGCAGGTAGGTTTGTCCTGTTATAAGAGAAGCTGCGGGAGCCAGAGGGGGCTTCCTAGCCATTCTTTGCTCTGGTCTTGACAGCCAGCGGAAGGGATGCGTCCATCACATCCACCCACCGCTCCAGACACCGCCTTTCATTTTTCAAACTTCAGTTCATCTTTTTAAGAATCTCATAAGTTCCATCCATCCAGCCATTTATTTTTCAGTTTTCTGCTTCCTCTTGACCCATCCACTCTTCCGTATGTCTCTTTAGCAATTCTTTCCTCCTCCTCTCTGGGTGACCAAAGCGCCTTGAGGAGCTTCTTTCATCCGGTCACTCACTTGCGTTCTGTTCACATCACCCACTCTTTCAACACACGCACCTCTTAAGTGCCCCTTCCCACTGCAATCAAAATACATATTTCTTCTGACACCCCCAGCTCTCACTTTTATGTAAGAAAATGGGCAGAAGTATGCTCTTACACTTTTTTCAACAAACCGTTCCTCAAAATAGACCACAAAGAACTATTTTTCTACCAGGATTTGTGTGCCTTAAAATTTCTCCACCCGTTTTCCCATCATTAGTAAACAGCCTTCCAAGGTACACGGATTCATGCAGTCCTTCCCTGCCGAACACAACTCCCTTGGCCTTTGCTGCGTTAATTTTCAGATCTGCCTTTCTTGTTACATCATACGATGTCTCTAAAACGTGATGTAAATCCTCAGGTCCTCAGCCAACAAAATAGCAGCTGCGTCTGCATGCAAGAAGGCAGATTCATTCACATCACCAGCCAACACACCTAACTAAGCTTGGCGGTTTTCCTGTAGATGTCTCATCACCAGGCCAGGGAATATCGTCAGTGCGGGGGGGGCGTGCAGTTATTAGCTGTTTGTGTGCTCGCTTGCCCTGCCCGTCTTGGTCGAG